ACAGTTTATTGACAGTTTTTACGCAGTTGAAAAACCACCTATTTCAGGTGGTAAAACCATACCATCCAAACCATCATAACACCACCTAAAAACGGTCTGACCGGCCTAAAAACAGGCAGTAAACTGCCCATTAATTGTCAGTTAACTGACAGTTAACTGGCAATTAACTTGGTGATTTTCAATGTCCTGGGGAGTATTATAAAGAATCGTATCCTTCTGCTTAAAGACTGTTACTTTTTTTTTTGAATATTTTCGACTTAGTTTATTACTGAAGTATTATCGACAAGTTCCTGTTCAGCTTTAACGGTAATTAAGTTTTAATTATTCTTTTAAATAATTAGGATGTCAGCTGTTGCTTCATCATCTGTTACTACCTTGTCTTCTACAGACACTTCACCTCTTCCTTTCGAAACCTATCATATCACTAGGTGTTATGATACGTCTACAAATTGATTTAATAGATATGAGAACTAGACCTGATGTTGTTTCTGTAGACGTTGTTTATTGTTGGATATTACATTGTATTGATCATTTTTCAAAATTCACTTGGGTTTATCCATTAGAAAATTAATCAGCCAAAGAAGTAGTTGTAAAACTTCGTCAGTTATTTTTTACTTTTGGTCCCCCACGTTTATTACATTTAGATAATGAATCAGAATTCGTTGCAAAGGTTATTTTAGAACTAAAAACAGTTTTTCCTAATTTGTGCTTTATTCGTGGTCGTCCACGTCATCCACAATCGCAAGGATGCATAGAAAGGGCCAATTGCGCCTTAACTTTATCGTTAGAAAAGTGGTTACAAACAAATGACACAATACATTGGTCAGAAGGTTTATTGCCTGTAGTTTACGACATCAATACAAGAACATCTGACACTACTAAAGCCATACCCTACGAAATCATGTTTGATCAGCATCCTCGAAGTGATTCCGAATTTTGGAAAATTGTAAAAGACCAAGATATTGTTGATGAAGAATATTTACCTTCACCGATTGAAAGTATTCAGGATAATGATGTTGATAAAGAAATTTGTTAGTACATCTAAGACAATTGATAATATTGATCATCAAGAATCTCTTCATAATTCAAATGTAACATGTTTACTCAGTCCTCTAAATGCTAGCATCTCTCAATCTACTTCTTCTCAATGCCTTCTTGACTTACCACCATCTACTCTGCATGTTTCGCTTCAACAACCGTTGATTGTTAATCATAACCCAATAACAGAAAATCTAATATCTTTTGATTCGCCTCCATCTTCACAACGAGTATCAACAACACTTTTTGACTTACATAATTTAACTTTCAGCCCAGTTACATGTTTAAGTAACGAAAATAACGTAGTATTTTCAGATTTACAGTCAATATCTACAGCACCTGCTACTAACTCTATTTCAAAAACTAATTGTGTTTCTCAACCATCCTAATCTTTTATAAACTATAATTCATTAGAAAATAACCCAATAAGACATGAAAATATTCGGCGCAAAGCGCTCGGTAAAAAAAAAGCGTCGAAAAAAGCGCCCACTAGAAAACGTCCACGAAAAGTATACTAAAAAAAACGTCGACAAAAATGAGTCCACAAAAATTTGTCCAAGCATAGTATTTAAGTGCATACTGCATAGATGGCTTCACTGCACTAGCTTGTCTCAGAAACGACTGATTTCCTGCGATCGTGGATCGGTTCAGCAGATCAGGCGTGCTTCCGAAGTATAGTGCGTTCAAAACTGAGTACAATATTATTTGGAAATCTTTTCAAATTTTGTTTTTCCATCTAACAAAAAAAACATACGAAAAAATTCGTCTAGAAAAAAAATGTCTAGCAAAAAAGCATACCAAGATGGGACGAAAAAACCGCCCACTAAAAAGTGTCAACTTTTGGACGCTTTTTTTTACCGTGCGCAAGATAATTATTTAGAAACAGCTAATAAACGAAGAAAAGCGTATGATGAACATCTAAGTAATTTGGCAGAAATGTATAAAAGAAAATGACTGTGTTGGAGTGCGAATTCATACTGGTGACAGAACAAATACAGATTCAAAAATGTTACCATGCTTAGTTGTTAGTAAGAAAGATGACGATTATGGATTTGTTTTAGCGTGCCAATTCGGATTCTTGAAAGACAGTTTTGGTATAGAAAGTCTTATTGATCTACGAAGTAGCTGTCCTAACGAATTAAAATCGCTTAATTTATTTGATTTAGAGAAGGAACTGTCTTTGATTGAAGCTTCGAAATTATATGTCCGTGGAGCAATAAATGGAGCTACTTGTGACTGTAAAAGCCAATGTGCCACTAAACACTGTCCTT